AGGCCAAATAAGAAGGTAAACCCAAAGAAAAATATATAGTTATCCTCCTGAATGTTGGAAGGAGACAAGATTGCCAGGCAAAAATTGGAAACATGGGGGTGGGCTGGGGTGGGGGTAAGGGGAGATGGGGAGAAAAAGTGAGAAGCGGGGGATGGGGAGAGCATGGGGGAATGGGACGGTTGGGATGGAGGAAGGGTGGATATGGGAGCAGGAAAGTATATATCTTAATTAAGGGAGCCATTTTAGGGTTGGCAAGAGTTTTGACTCTAGAAGTGTCCCCAGGTGTCCATGGAGATGTTCCCAGCTAGATACTTGGACAGCTGAGGAGAGGGAGCCTGAAATAGCCCTATCCTATAGTCATACTAATGAATATCTTGCATATCACCATAGAACCTTCATCTGGTGATCGATGAAGCTAGAGACAGAGACTCACATTGGAGCACTGGACTGAGCTCCCAAGGTCCAAATGAGGAGCAAAAGCAAGGAGAACATGAGCAAGGAAGTCAGGACTGCAAGAGGTGTGCCCCACCAGCCGAGACAGTGGGGCTGATCTAATGGGAGCTCACCAGAGCAAACTGAACTAGGACTGATGGAGCATATGATCAAACCAGACTCTCTGAACATGTTGGACAAGGAGGGCTGACTGAGACGCCAAGGAAAATGGCACTGGGTTTTGATCCTACTGCATGTACTGGCTTTGTGGGAGTCTAGTCTGTTTGGATGCTCACCTTCCTAGACCTGGATGAAGTGGGGAGGACCTTGGACTTCCCACAGGGCAGGGAACCCTGACTACTCTTTGGACTGGAGAGGAAAGGGAAGGGGACTGGGCAGAGAGGAGGACGGAGGGGGAGGAAAATGGGAGGAGGGGAGGTGGTGGAAATTTTTAAGTAAAAATAAAATAAAAAAAGAAAGAAAATAAAAAACATCTTTGAAAACAGCACTAAGATGAAACCTCCACGTTTGAATTCCAAACTGATCATTATATTTTATAAATTATAAAAAGATAAAATAAAATTAAGAAAACTCTAAAAACTATTGAAAAGTTACTTATTAAAAAGTGAGCAGAGAGTCATATTTGGTAATCAAAGAATATTAACGTTGTTAAGTTGGATTTTGATTACTTGGACATTATTTAAAGTAAGTTGCATGATTTAAGGCCAGTACTACAGAAGTATTAGATTATTATAACTATGTACAAATAAAATTTTACAATAGTTAGAGAACCAAAGCAAACCTTGGTAGTATCATTGCCTTAGAGGACATAGTGCAAAATGACCTTTTCTATCACCTTTGCCTGTTCCTTGATGTTCTGCTCAGTTTACATTTCATTCTTTATAGATGTAGCTATTATCACCACAGGTGCACAGACAAGCAAATCATTCGATTTGCAATGTGAGATGTCGACTAAAACAGAACCAGGCAGTATCTGACTACCATAAATCTAATTCTAGTGAGGAAAACTTATCTAATGACTAATATCTATCAACCGTACCATGCTGTTCCTATACCGTGAAATCTAACATGCATTTTCCTCATGCCTATCTAGGATAAATTGGTTATGAATAACATAGTAGATGTGAATATTTAAAGCCCTAACAAATCCAGGCTTAGTCTCATTTTCATTTAAATATCTTCTTTGAGTCTTCCTACCCAAAAAAAAAAAAAAAACAGCAATGTACAACCACAGAATCATATTATCAATCACAGTCATAGTATGACTCATACATCTTAGGATGCATTTGTGTAAATGCAAACTAGTATCTGGAATAAAATGAAAATACACTGTTAAAGGTAACAACTATGGGTCTTTTTTTCAAAGTTTTCTGAGTCATATCACATTATCACAGTTTTTTTATTTGCATTTAATATAGTTTTAGGTAAAGAATATAATTGAGATCATTGTCATGAATTTTACCATAATTCTATTTTATTATAATATCAAAATCTAAGAGGTAATACACTGTGTATTCAGTGGTTCACAAAAGCATACCCTTTGTGAACAGGGTATCTTTTCTGAAATGTAGCATAATATCTTACATAATTCAGAATATGTGTCCATTAGAGTAACAATCTCTACCCCTTAATAAAGAGTCAAGAATGAATGGGAGGAAAGTAAGCATAATTTCTGTGTTTCTTTTTCTCTTTTCTTCTTTATCAGAAGAAAAGAAATGATAATGAGTAAAAAAAACATGAGGAATTAATGCTAGTTAAATATTTTGTTATTATTTGTGCTTGTTGGGACACTGTGATGCTTTATTGCATTCTAAACTAACTCTGTCCTGGATACAATCATCAGGAAAATGTTTGCTCATTGAACTCCACCATAGATATGATACACTTCACATATACCTGCTTTCATCTCACTGGACTGACTCCCACCTTGAATTTTTGGAATCCTGTATTCAGAAATATCATGAACTGTTTGTGAAGAATGTATAAAGGAAGAGTGGCTACATGTTATGGGTATTTTCTTTATACAAAATAGTGAGCCATTGGAATCTATCTTCACTTACAGGAGATGAGATCAAAGGCTGAAACATATAAGAATTTCAGAATGGTGACAGTTGGACGCTAATTCAGCACCTGGGTCTTTCTTAGAATAGGCAACATGGCTATGAATCTGAGCTTGTTTGCATAATAATTTTTCTCCAAATACTGGCCAGTGATTTTTCCCCCTCATTTCATGTGGAGTCTCTCTCTTAACATTAGGTATGAAGTCTACATTTTCAGGACTCCTGGGAGTTGAATTTTTGTTATTTTACCTTTCTTTTCTTTAATAAACACACATATATTCATATCATGTATATTGAATATATTATGCACAGATTAATTTAAACATATATGTATATAGAATATTATTTATAATATTGTTATATCTATATGTGTTATTGTGACATGAAAATGTAATTTTATGATTTTCCCTCTTTCCCATTCCTTTCTATAGTACTTCCCACATATGCCTTCTTTGTTCTTTCTAAAATTTGCAGGCTCTATATAAACATTTTTAGTCAAAATGTTACTTATTTGTATATGACCTCAGGGCTGGTCACTTGATATTGAATATCCAAGTCACGAGTTCTTCCCTGTTAAAGATTAATTGTTTCTCACTCATGCTCATTACAGATCACCAAGACCCACTGCACATATGGAACCCATATCTATACAATTATCTGAGCTAAGACACATAGATAGACAGAGCATAGGTGCCTTAGGAGATATTACTACTATTACTCTGCTAATGGTACAAAGTATTCAATTGATTTCTAATGACTTTTTATTTCACCCGTATAATGGGGCATCTCTCAACCCTCACCAGAAAAAGCTTTGAATTTTAGTAGATGACAATTAACAGACTTTATAAATTGGCCAAAGAGCTGAGAATAAGAGATTTTAAATTGCTCAGTTCTAAATAGGATATGTGTCACACCTTTCCCCTGTAGGCTCTTGGATAACTGCCTAAAAGAGTGAGAAGAAAAATTTAAGAGCCAGAGGTGGCATATTACTACAAAAAAGCGTGTTTCTGGGCACAATAAGACAGTTATACATGTGATATCATAGTGATTGTGATAACTTTCATAAGGCCTGTCCAAACTCAGGCCAGACAAAGGACAAGCATGGAGAGAGATGAGTTAGTCGAAAAGTGCCAAGTCAGACAGAGCAATTATTGAAATTTTGCAATCAATTGGAGAGGAAAAAATAGTTTCTTTAAGAATGTAGACTTTGGTAGTTCTGGCTACATTGGATGATAACACAACCAATAATAACTAACTTAACATAATAGATTAAAAGTTAGAACACAAAATTTTGTGTATACAGAATGGCAAGTGGCTCTGAAAGTAGTTAGAGAACAGGGTGATTATGATCAAAATACAATGTATAACATTCTCCATGAATTATTAAAATAATGTTTTACTTTCTGTAAAAAATTATATCATATGTATTACTATCATATGTATACAATCATATGATAATGGATTTTGAAATAAATAATACATATGCTATTTCATAAGTTTTTTCATGATTGTCCGTAAAATTATATGTATATGTTAGTCACAGTTTATTAATCACCTATTGCTACGATATGGTTAACTGTCAACTCAATAACTGTAATTGTATTATTTTCTTCTGTAAATTACTGTCCTTGAGTTGGCTGGGCTTGGCTCTCGTATACATAATTCATATTTGTTCCGTGCCTTTTTCCAGTCATTTCTACTATGGATGTTACCATGGTGCAATGCATGTGGAGCTTCTCTTCTAACTATACTCTGCCTCAGTTTTGGACCAAAATGAATTCGATTCCATAGTATAAGGTAAGCAGTTAAGTACTCCATTTTCAATGATGAGTATAATTGAAGAGAAACTGAAGATTAATTCAACCTATCAAATGAAGAAATTATCCATAAACCTTACCACGTGTTTACATGGAAAGGGGACTTTTAAAGTGAAAACAGGTTAAATTTGCACATACCTCATATATTAAAATTAAAGATATTTATATATTAACATATACTGATAATGAAATCTATTTTCAAGCTATGAAATATTCTCAATATGTGCCATAGAATCACATGGGTTCTACAAATCTTGGCAATTTCATCATTGTTTTGTCACTATTAGAAAAAATATCAAAGAGTAAAATGAAAGTGTTACAACAATGTATTTACTATTTTTCATCCTACTTAGTCCTAAATCAGAGGCTTATACTTCTAGAGTATTATTGAATTAAATGCTGATTTTAGTTTTTTTTTTTTTTTTTTTTTTTTTTTTACAGGTTTCAAGTTTGGGTACCCGTGAAATTTGTTCATGTCTCCATCATTCCTTGTTGTTCCTTGTTGTTTAAAACACATTCATTTAATGATTATAACAGTGTGTCCCATGATGTCCAGGGTGCATAATTTAGTGTTTAAATTCTATTATATATTGTGAAACATTGTGTTCAAAGATCTTAAGAATTACTATGAGAGTAGGAAAAAAAATTTGAATCAACTTTGTGATCCGTAATGAGCATGAGTGAGAAACAACTATGGTAATATTTTCCTTGAGGAAAATTAAATATTTAGCATAATTGTTTTTTTTTTTCCAAGAGTCGGTAAACTGTTTATTCTACTAGGAACATTCAGAAATGTACAGACCTAGGCTTCGGGGTGGGATCCCCATGTGGTGGCTACGTCACACGCTAGTTCCCGAGGCTCACTGGCTTCTGGACACAGTATTTCTGGACACAGTATGGGCCGAGGATAGGCACTGGCTTCCAATGGTCTACCTCGACCTTGGGGTCCAGGGCTTGGGCTCTAGTCTTTGAGAATAAGTGGTGGATGTCATGCGCCGAGCTGGGATTAAAGTCACCGTTGCAGGCTTGGCTGGGAAAGACCCTGTGCAGTGTAGCCGTGATGTAATGATTTGTCCTGATGCCAGTCTTGAAGATGCAAAAAAGCAGGGACCGTACAATGTGGTGGTTCTTCCAGGAGGCAATCTGGGTGCACAGAATTTATCCGAGTCGCCTGTAGTGAAGGAGATTCTGAAGGAGCAGGAGAGCAGGAAGGGGCTCATAGCTGCCATCTGTGCAGGTCCTACAGCTCTGCTGGCTCATGAAATTGGTTTTGGAAGCAAGGTCACAACACACACAGGGGCTAAGGACAAGATGCTGAATGGAAGTCACTACAACTACTCAGAGAGCCTCGTGGAAAGGGATGGCCTGATCCTCACCAGCCGAGGGCCGGGGACTAGCTTCGAGTTCGCACTGGCCATTGTGGAGGCGCTCAGCGGCAAGGAGGTGGCTGACCAAGCATAATTGGTTTTATAACATTCACTATTTATCTAACATTGATAAGCAGTTATATCTAACCAAAAGTATTTATGGGGTAAGAAGGATGCCTAAAAGAAATATCACACTAGCTCAGAATTGAGAATAATAGAGTGTTATTTAGTTAGGGGTAGACACACAAATTACAATCCTCTGCTGGAATGGAGAAAAGCAACTGAATCCAGCAGGAGGAAGAGAGACTGGACACGTGCTTTAAATCAGCATCAGAAGCATAAGAGGGCACACCCAAGTGGGCCGATAACTTAAAGGCTACTATCAGTAGGAATTCCTACAGCAATGGCGTAATTTTTACTAAGATGTGTTCATGGTTACTGATGTTTGCTGATAAATATCGGTAATTACTTATCTGGGGTGACTGATTTGCTAGACAGAGAAGTGTATTTACTCAATGCATTCAATATGCACGAATCATACTCCTTTTAATAATTTGCTTCAAAAATTTTCTCAAATGTCAATTCATGCATTTACTATTCTTCTACCATCTAGATAAAGTATTCAAAGGTAAAAATAGCACAGAATATTTTCTTTTTTAGTTTCTTAGATTGTTTGTATTGAGCTATATATTTTTTCTCTACTCCCCTCCTCTTCTATCCTTTCCCAAAGTCCCCATGCTCCCTTTTGACATCAGCAAACATTGTGACATATGCTCACTATATCATCTATGTGCCTCTGTCCTCACTGTTGAACATCATATACATATGTTGCAGGGAGAGGGCTGCTTGTTCATCCCGGCCACCCAGCTAGCTTAGTCCTGAAATAACCATACAGAAACTGTATTAATTAAAACACAGTTTGACCCATTTGCTCTAGCCTCTTGTTGGCCAACTCTCACATTTTGATTTAACTCATTTTTATTATGTGTATATTGCCACATGACAGTGGCTTACCAGGAAAGATTTAGCATATCTGATTCTGGTGGCTCCATGGAATCTCTCTCTCTCTCTCTCTCTCTCTCTCTCTCTCTCTCTCTCTCTCTCTCTCTCTCTCTCTCTCTCTCCTTCTTCCTCCCGGCATTCAGTTCTGTTTTTCCCACTTAACTAAGTTCTGCCCTATCAAAAGGCCAAGACAGTTTGTTTATTCACTCACCAATGAAATCAATACATACAGAAGGACCTCCTACACCATACATACATAGACACACACACTCACACATATAATGAAGATTAAATATATTTAAATATATTCAATTGTTTAACAAAATGTTTATAAATCATATGTGCTAAGAAGAGACAGCATGTAATATAAGGTTTGTGTGCTTTCATGAACAATTCTTTACAAACAAAAGCTTATTATTACAATACAAAGTTTTATCTTTAATTTCACTAAATAAAATTTAGTGTTGATATTCTCATAATATATTTTCCAAATTGTTAAGCTAAATTGTACAGACAAAGCTTCTAATTATAAATTTAATGTATTTGGTTCATATAGAAATTAATATATTTTGTATAGAGGAATGTAAAATAATAGTCTGGTCTATGTTTACATATATACAAATATATATGTGTGTATGAACATGTATATATACATATTTATATATACTGTCAACAATGTCAATTTTTTTAAAGTGAAGATTTACACCTCAAAATTTAAAATGATCTGACTTTTGGGTTTTTTGTTTGTTTTTCTGCAAGAAAGATTTGATGCAATTGTTTGTTATGATGATACATTTAGTTGTGAAAGCAAAATGATCCACTCTTTTATTTATTTATTTATTTATTTATTATTTTATTTATTAAAAATTTCCAACTCCTCCCCTCCTCCTTCACTCCCGTCCTTCTCCCCCCCCTCCAATCCTAAGAGCAGGGTTCCATACCCTGTGGGAAATCCAAGGTACCCCCCCCTGCATCCAGGTATAGGAAGGTCAGCATCCAAACAGACTAGGCTCCCACAAGGCTGACTTTTTATTTTTAAAGTTTCTTTTAAACTCTTTAAGACAACAGGAATAAAAGTAAAGCTATTTTTAAAAGAAAATATGATGTATCAATTTATGTGAATTAAATAAAGATACTAAATACATTCCAAATTACATAAGTGTTCAATCAGTCTCTGAAGCACATGAACACATGAGGCATAGCTTTAAATTTCTGAAGTCAGCTCTGAAATAGTACACGATTCCTTGATGTTCTGTCAATTGATGAATGTGCAGATTTCTCCACAGCCCAAATGCTGATGATGTCAGTAAATAAGAAAAACAGATGTGATTAAAGCTGTCTATAGAGCCAGGAACAGATGGGCTCTGGGCTGTGGGAGAACACAAACACACCAAGACTCAAAGAATGATTCTATTGCCCAAACTTGTTGTATATTAGGACAATGAATAATAAACAAAAATAGAAAAAGAAGGCCTAGAACTTACAAATCTTTGTCCACAAGAAAAATAAAATAACTGATACTCTGTAAAAAAAAATACCTACAATATGAAGGATAAAATAATGTGCAAATCAACGTAAGTCATTAGTACTAAATATTTAAAAAATAGTATTATCATTTATTCATTATATATTTCTTTGTGCCAACAAATGTCCTACTTTTGAAAGGTTAACTGCAAATACCAAACTCTTATTTTTAACTGACTCAGTGTGTTATATCCCAAACCCAATTTACACTAAACACATGCAAAAAATATAAGTATCATCCGGTCTCTAATTACCAATGTAAAGATCAGAGAAGGGGAGAAACACATAGAGAGGGAGACAGAGAGACCGGGAACATCTTTCTCAGAAATGAAACTACCAGTGTACAATTCTAACTTCTTTTTTAAATCACTTTAGCATTTTCATACAGTAAAATACACGTAAATTAGGAATCAAGGAAACAAGCTGTGATTTTCCACCTAAGTCATTTCTCTTTATGTTGTACATTCTACATGTAAACGTTATGATTTTCTTGCCTCTACCCTGCCAGTGGTGAAGTTACAAACTCTGCGCATCTTGGATGGAATTGGTTGCTATTTTTCAGGATTCTCTCTCCTCCTGTTTCATCTGTCCACGATTATGGTCTGTGATCTCTCCTCACTGTCTCAGGCTTCCGTCAAGGCAATCCATCTCATATTGGAACAATTCAATTTCTGCATGACATCTTCTCAAGAATCTCTAAGCATTTTTCCATGAGGAGCCTAAGGTTAAAAATATCCAAAGTCAAAAACTCAAAGCACAGACAAATCCTGATGTACTAAGTGGAGAAAACTGTAGTGAGAAAGAAAATATTTCTATCTAAAATAATAGTTCATACTAAGAAATAATGGGTTATGTTCTCAAATATATTTCTAATACAAAGGAAATTTTATTAGGTTCATAGATATTTTCTCTCCTTTCTAAATGGAAATGATGTTCTACTTTATTAAATTTGGATAATCTTATCTCATCAGATAATTTATATTGATGTCTCCAAATAGCATTTTGTTTTAGTACACATATGTAGTTTGATACATATATTGTAAAGTCCATATATTTCAAAATAGAAAAGTCCAATACCTATGAAATTATATGAAACTGAATTTTAATGAAGTGAATATCTTTTTCTATACAATTTAGACACATATATTCGAAGAAATACACACCCAGCTAAATGACCAAAAGTTAATTTATATATGGAGGGAATCTTCAAAAGCCATTATGCACCATGGTATTATAAATAAAATAGCAAACTGCTTGATTTTACATGGATATAAAAAATGTATGTAAAACTGAGTTTTGAGAAGTTATATTTACATTAATTATGAGTCTATTTAACTAATTTACATGAAAAAACAGACAAAATAGCAATAAAATATCCCTTAGTTCTATTTCCATCTAAAATTATATTGATAAAACGATGTTGAAAACACACTTAAAGCTCATGAATTGTGCACATGTACAGAAATAGTGCATCTATAAAAATTTATTACAGCTAGACTGTAGTTGGTTGTGCACACCTTTAATCCAAGCATGTGGAAGGCAAATGCAGGTGGATATCTATGAATTTAATGCCAGCCTGCCTAACAGAGTAAGTTTCAGGACAACCAGGGATACTCAGAGAAACTGTGTCTTAAAAACAAAACAAAATGAAAAGAAAGTGTCAAATAGTTGAAGGCTCTGTCTGTCTATACTTTTAACTAGATTATAATGTGAACATTGTGTACTTAATATACTTTATTCTGAGTATCAGTGGTTGGCAACTCATAAAGGATTGATGCTAAATTATAAAATCCCTTAGAGAACTTCCTTGCCTCTTGGAAAATATTTACTATCTATCACATAAAACCTGATGATTTGTACCTACTACATGATCCTAATTTTTTTTACTTGAATGAAGTGTGTACAAATTCCTTGTTTTGAGAGATATAAATAACATTATACATATATATATATATATACATATATATATATATATGGGAAATTTAGGAAAAAGGAGAGAAAGCTAAGGAATGCAGAGTAAAAACAAAGTTTGAAGAGATGTGGTAGCATTTTCTTTCAGGATATGTACCTCATATTCTTAAGGGAATGAGTATTTAAAATAAAATTTGTTGCTAATACTAGTCCACGCAGACAATGCGCTGTCGTTAGAAAAATCCATGTTTTGTTTTTCTCCTTGTATTATGAAGACGTTGAAGAGACTACAGATTAAAGGCAGAAATCCCTCCTCAGAAGCTAGCCAGTTAGTCACTATTTCTTTCTTTGGATTTAAAAATTAATTTGAATAGCTGGGAAAGCAAGTATTTGTGTCTGTCATCCAGAATTGAGCTGGAAAGAGATTATACACTTTCTTTACACTTGAAACAGTATTAAATTTGGTCCCCTAGGGTTTTCAATGAGTTGAATACACGTTAAGCCAGAGCTGAATACCATTCAGATGACAGTTGAAAGTGCAAGTTGCACGCAGCATGTTGCCTAAATCAATCAGTAACCTTATAATCAGTCACTACTTGCCGTCTTCAAAGGCCAAATATCACTGCTTCACAATTGGTATGATTTTCCTCTCCAGTA